GCTAATTAAGAGGGTTAAAACCTTCCTAATATTCAAGTCTTTACCAGTGAATAACTTAACAAACTGCTGTATACGGAAAGATATATGGACGAATAATTTACAAGTTGACGATAACGGTGTTTACTATTGACAACTACCACGATTATTCATCTGATTGATTATTTAAGTATAAATATAATAACTAAACGCAATCTTTCCATTTTTATTTTGTAAAAGCATACTACAAGGGAAGAAGGCGTAGCGTCTCATATCCTTTGAAAGCTTGGTGGAACTTGGTATTCTTTTCCATAACAAACCTTCGTAGTATTCAGCTGAATATGTTATCATCGGGAAGTAACTTAAATATACGTCGTAATGTTTTCTCAAAACTTGTAAATTGATTTAGTTCTTTAGTTTATCATACTTATCATTAAACATTTGTTTGCTCAATTATCCAATTACAATATAAGCAGTTAATTACTTTTGTATGAACCTCTAAAGATGTATGTATTTATCTGTCACAGTGAATTGCTTTACACTCTTACAAGTTCTTATAACAAAACGGGTACTTATAAAATGAACACTTAGTTATTTCTAATTGTCACAAACAGTTAATCGTTAAGATTCTCATTATACATCCCCAAGAAATTATGATAAAGATAAGAATAACAACTATGCAAAAGTTTATTAATACATCATCAGTAATGATAAAAGAAAAACAACATTTGATTCAGAAAACTAAGTCCAGGAACTTTGTTTCTAGAACATCTTCACATTTTCTAATTTTCTGAGCCATTATAAAGTAGATTACACAAAAATAAGCGTTAGAGAAAGTGGAGTCTAATCGAGTTATTAATGATTCTTAAGTAATCATTGTCGACTTTTCTTCCCACTTTCATCATGAACTGCTCACCATATTTATTCACGTTCTGTTGATTGTACATATTCTGGCTTCATTGAATCTGTGAATACTGTTTACTTCGCCTGTGGAATGAAACTATTGTTATGTAAGAATGTATGTGTTATATATATAGTCACGTTCAATCCCTTATTCTCCCATGGTCTTGGTACCCCTTCGAATTTTAAGAACTATAATTGCTAATTATGACATTCTTCTTTATAAAGTAGACAGTTATCTTAATCTTTTATTCCATAGATTATTACTATTTATAACTTCCAAAACTATTATGTAACGTAAGCTCATGATGATTGTTAATTACTTTGTCAGATAATACAACGTTTTTTTATTCAATACTTTAATGTTTTGGTAACACTGAAATGACACTCACTCATTTAATAGTTGAGTTCATCAGTCAATTTAAGTTAGACCACTATAGAAAACCTGAAAACACTGGACGGCCGTTTCGTTCTAGTATGGGACTCCTCACCAGTGCTCATCCATGGTCCTACACGCGGGACTTAAACCCAGGATCTTCGGTCTCACGTGTGAATAATTAACCCCTAGGCCACTGAGCTGACCGGCATCCAACGGTGTTAATGTCTAACTTCAACCAACTCACCTTCATTTACTTGAAATACTTGAAGATTTTTGGTAATCTCAATTATATTATGCAACACCACTTTATTTTGATTGACGTCCACGTGAATACGTTTGGTTGTCTATGATAATCTTGTAAAAACTACTCTGTTTTACTATGGCCTACGTGTAAAAAATTACCTATATATGTGATTGAACAGCTTCATTGAATGATATCGTCCAAAAGAACGTTTTATTTCGTTGGACCGTCTTCATTGTTTTTAATGAATCAATGGAATATCGTGTTTTTTTCAAAGTTTCAAACCTTTAAAAACTTATTTCCTCTTGAAACATGTTTGTATTGATCACTTGGCTGAAGGATAAGCTTGCTTGAAATAAAATTATTTAATAGCACTTCTTCTAGTGACTTAATTATTACAATAGACCGCCATAGAAAACCTGTAAGCACTCGACGGTCGTTTCGTCCTATTGTGGGACTCCTCAGAAATGCGCACTCACGATCCCACCTAGCGGTGTTCGAGCACAGGACCTATCAGTGTCGCGCGCGAACGCTTAACCTCAAGACCACTGAGCTGGCCGGCATTCAATGATGTTAATTTATAACCTCAACTAATACATGAAATTGAGCGACATATCCACTATTGTCATCACTGATTTCCTGTCTCACAACAGACCCGGTTGAAATCTACTGGTCACTGCTTCTCACTAGAACTCCAGGAAATACCTATTGTACTCTATTTTCTACGCTAATCTTCAGTTTCGGACATAATTGTATTTTCCTAATTATTGTACGTTATGATCGGGTTACTCATCTATTTACACTGATCGGAAAATCGGGAATGAGATCGGTATGGAGAACAAATTATGTAGTGTTCCAGCTGACTTGTCTTCTCTCACTTGCGTACTTGTCAGCCAATCACGTGATAGAATAGTTTTCGTCTCTGAACCCCAAACAGTTAATTTCACTTCGAACTCACGCATACTAGTCTTAAAGTTAAGTCACTCAGCCTATCATGTCATGTTCTTAATCTACATTAGACAAGTTATCCTCAGTACTAAAATTGGGTAAACAGATCAAGGACGTAACTACTCTGTAATTATACTCTAAACAATAAATTAGTTATCCCCCATTAAATCTTCATTTATTTTAATCTGTAAACAAAATCGTCCCTACAACTTTTAACCGCACAATTTTTGTTATAAATTCAGAAACAAATACAATGTAATCACAAAAGAAAGTTTACTAACATTTTAAATCGTACATAATTAAGAAGAAAACAGGAAACAGAAAGAAAAACACACAGTTTCATAAATATTCTACACCTTATTGATTGAAAGTTCTAAATTTATTTGATTATTTGTAGTTGAATTGTCATTGACTGAAAAATAGAAGAAAATAGGTTTTATTCTGGTGAAAAATTTATCCAAGATTCAACTAATTTTTTTCACAATTTCTTGGTTAAAAAATGGAGAAATGGATAGCTATATGATGTGTTCCGACAGTATTACTCGATTATCTTTTGTGTTTTATTTTATACTACTTATAAATATTCAGTAACCAAAATCTATTCACAAAGTATATTGAGTAAATCTGTTATTGATTGAGATCTTGAAGTAATTGATGTTGGACCGCCATTGGAAACCTAGGAGCACTGGACGACCGTTTCGTCCTTAACAGTGCTCACTCGAGATCCCGCTCTTGGGATTCGAACCCAGGGCCTTTAGCCCCGCACGCGAACGCTTAACCTACTTGACCACTGAGCCGGCATCTAACGGTGTTAATGTCGAACATCAACCAACATCAAGCCACCATTTTCCACTGTACTGAAGTAGATACCCGTCTCTGCCCAGCACGGATTAGCTCCACTGGTCACGGCTTCTCGCTAGAACTCAGAGAATTCTTTCTGGAAGTTAGTCACTAGTGAGCCCATGGTAATTATCAGTATAGAGTTGTTGATGCGCGCTGCTGAAGAGGCCTATGTTAGTACGAAAAGGCCGTCCAGTGCATCCATGTTTTCAATGGTGGTCTTACATAAATCGGTTCAAGATCTCAATCAATAACTTAATAATGTCGACTACTCTATACTAATGAATCCGTTATTGTTTCGTATTTTCAATCATTTAGGCAGACCTACTCATCATTGTAACGGAGTCTTCTTATCATTTCTAATGGTTATTTCTGATTTTATTTTACAGTCAATGAATATTTGTTTTACCATAACAGTTATGGTAATTTTTGTTCTTTGCCTTCATTTTGATGGTATCTACTATTGCAGTTTCGACACAGCTATTAGTAGTCACATTAGTTTATTGTATTTTGTTATTACATAAATAAAGTATTCATTTTAGAAAGCACGGTTCTTTGATTGCATTGCCGTAGATACCTAACAAATGGTATTGTAGTAGCACTGTATGATACCATCATTCACCCATAAGTTTTAAAGTTTGAATGAAATCAATCAGGAATGATCGGATTAGTTTCATGATATTGTTCCTGAATTATGATTTTAGTAAATGGTAGTTTAAATTTCACTGGAATTGTTAGTTCCTTTAACATTTTAGATACTCTTTTCTAATATATGGTAATTAATCGATAGTTTAGCTCTGCAGGTTTTTGTGAACTTATTTCAATTAGATAGTATCAAAATGAAGTGAGTTCATATCATCTGATGTGAATAACTTTTATTAAAAGTTTATGATGGCTATGCTGTATATTCTTTCCACTAACACTTAATTACCATTAAGTCAATTCAATAACTGCATAATCCCATAATAATGAAAAACCTTACATGAGATTTTAGTAAAGAATTTGAAAACTTGTAACTCTTTAACAATATTAAATGTTTCAACTCTGATCTGTTCAATGTTAGGATGGTCAGTCAGGTAAATGAAGATGAATTTACTATAAAAATGATTAATTTGATCGATATATTTACACAAAACAATTTGGTTATTGATTATCTTGATCATTTAAATCAATCAAAGCACTCATGATATGAACCTACTTATTTAGGATTAAGTAGTTTGTTTTTATCCATTTAAAAAAAGTGACATAATGAAAGAAAGTTCAGTAAACTATTGTAGTAAACTCATTCAACTACTGTATTATTTATCTGAATACTGTAATTTAGACAGTTGATCCACCATGCAATTTTCTGTGTGAGTGTGATTGAGCACATTTCAATCTATTCTCCTATTGGTTGTAACATAAAGATAATCAATAATTTACCCATACTTGATTAACACTCATAAATATATATGAATTTTTTAACACTCACACAAACACTTGATTGTCCCTGTATGCTTGCTTCCTATACGCTTGTACATTTTACCAATCTTTAACAATAAACTATCTCTATAACTGATGTTAAGCCTTTGGAATACTCTCGAGTAAACCCACAGTTCTACTAGGAGATTTAACCTGCATTCAATACTCAGTCAATTGAATACTATTTATTAAAGTCAGATATAAAAGACACTAACCTGTCGACTATAACATTCAAATAATCTATGGATAACTTACGGCTAAATGATGAAGAGAAATCCAATTTTTTATTGATAATATCATTTAATTCAGTTGAATTACGTAACATTCCTAAAAAGTCCATTTCTTTTAATTCTTTTTCAAAATCATCAGAAATCCAAAAACTTTTAGATACTAATTGACCTAAATAATAAAATATAATAAATAAAAAAAATTATTAAACATATATTTGTATAATCTTGTATATTATGAATAAGTTTAAACTTAAAGTTTACTAGGGTTCTAACTGTAACTGCAGATTAGACGGCAGCGAATTGTCGACCGGACTGTAGTGAACAATAACACAGGTGGGGACAAACGAATGTATCAAGCACAGAAATTGCAGACTATCTCAATAAAACCTGAATACCATAAAGTCAGTCGTCAATTTGCAAAATATCAATCCATCATATCAAACTGGATTGTTTCCGTTGCAAACACTAATCGATTGTCTCCCATTCCATTGTACATGCGTTTTCTTACAAATTCCATTGTGCTCTCGCTCTTCCTTTCTTGATCTTCGCCATCTCCTGCTGCCGGACATTACGTTCTTTTAACGCACGTTATATACTACTTATATCAATATAACTAGCTCACACCACAGGACCAAAGACTCGTAAAACACGTGAGAACAACCTAGAGTCCTGATTGGTCCCGCTTCCCTATCTAGCCTAGCCAATTGAGTCCAGAACACAAGTCTCAGCCTCTGAGATATGAATCATTATATTTCAAGCATACTGAGTTTATATACTAATCAAACCGAGCACAATGTACCAATAAAATATGAAACAACATTTGTGCAAGAAATAACCAGATGTGGCTGTGAATCAGGAAGGTAGTTATCAATATACTGGGTATAACTCAAGAATGGTAAAACGTATAATAATGGTTCAGAGGTCAAAATAAAGCTTATAGTAACAGGGACATGAATATAAATAGTTTAGTTATTTAATAAATATACAATAGAAATATACGTTTAGTGTTGGTCCATAAAAGGATTCCAAAGTTACCATTTATTATGTTTCTCGGGTCCCAACAGTAAATTTAACATTAAAGTTTACTAGATAAATATTACTTTACATTATATAATACAATATCATTATCTGAATAGTTGAAATCATGCATGAATTGAAGCTAGATCACTATGGAAAACTTAGGAGCACTGGATGACCATTTCGTCCATGATGCTCCAGCTTCAACTGACTCATGATCTTAATCATTGAAATTCTTATTAGCTCTTTGTTTCATTTATTATCCCATCATTAATGTTTTCTATTTTATTTATTATGTTCAATGTAATCTATTTCACTGTTATCAATGACTAATGAATGACCCTGAATGGTTTATTATTATTATTATTATTCTTTATCATATTCTATCCTAATTTTAAAATGTTCAATATTCAATGTTAAATTCAATGTCAATTAATTTGAAAATTGATCATTAAAAGATAATAATATTTGAAAACAAAAAAAACAAACAAACAAACAACCTACGTGTTGTATTGCTTGAAGCAATTCCATATCGATTTTTCCCTGATATATCTATATCATTATCATTATCAAGGAATTGAGAAATCCATTTTTCATTCATATTTTTTGTTTCAGGTACTGAAAACCATGATGTTTCAGTTTCTTTATTATTCTTATCTATAAATAATGAATATGAGATGATATAATGATAAGAAAAATGTATCCATCAGATATTAGACAAATTATAAGTGAATATATATATATATATATATATATATATATATATATATATATATATATATATATATATATATATAATAAAATACATATTATTGATTGAAAAATGGATTATTACTCTATCTAAACTAGATCACTGGTGAAAATGTGGAAGCATTGGATGATCGTTTCATCCTAATATGGGATTCTTTAGTAGTGTACATCTACGATCCTATACTTGGGACTCAAGAACCCAGGAGTTTCGATCTCGATCGTGAACCCTTTAATCTCTAGATCGCTGAGACGGCATACATCAGGGTTTTTTGAATGAATGATATATATATATATATATATATATATATATATATATATATATATATATATATATATATATAGAACATATTTATTGCATTTGAAATTATCAACATATATACATTTACCTGAGGAGGTAGTATTAAGTTTTGTTGAATTATTTTGTAACAAAGTTCCACCATTAATTTGACTATTAATAAAATCAAGCATATCTTTATCGGTTACATTTTTATCACCTAATTTAATAACCCATGTAGTTTCTGTAATTTCATCATCATCTAAAATGAGTAGTAAATTGAATAAAAAGAGAAAAAAAAGAAGGTAGCGTTTAGTAATTTACTCAAAATAAAATTTTAAGAAAAAAACAACAAAAATTTCTAAAATAATTTTCTGGAAAAGAAAAAAAAATAGAAAAGAAAAGAAATCGAAACGTGAAACTTATTAATCAGTTACCCAAATTTTTAATGCTCTATACTACTGTTAATTGAATTCAGTAGCTAATTTTAATAAAACTAAAAGTTTTGATGATATTTCAAATTTGTTTTTTAATACAACAATCCGTGATGTAAAATGATGAATGGAATTTATTGTAGGCAAATTTAGGATTGTTAAACAAAATACATTAAAATTGTTAATGTTGATATGAGCAAGTTATATTGATCGAAGTTCTAGGAATTTACATTTTCGTGCTTGTGAATACCTCCCAGTTTGGCTAAACAAACGTTTGATGAAGAAAGTGAACAGCTCGATATTGGCCCATTTAGTACAAACTGGTCATAGTGCCAGTATAAACCAATCTTTTTCAATTATTTATAAGGTCAGTAATTTTTTGTCAAAACTTGTCAGACTTAAAGTCGTTCATACAGCTAAAGCTTTAGCCATCCGGATGAAGAAACCGGAGCTATGTGTAAAGGAGAAATATCTTCAACCACTCCTCCTCCTCTGACCAATACCAAGGCCAATTAATCAATAATAATCTTAGTTATTGAATGAACTAATTTGACTACGACCTTTCTGTTGTAAAGGGTGGACTGCAGGTTAGATGCACAGCGTTTTATCGATCGGATTATTGACACGTAAAACACGTAATGAACGACCTAGAGTCCCGATTGGCCCTGCTTCGCTGTCTATCCCAGCCAGTTGAGTCCAGAACGCAAGTCACAGCCTCTAAGATATGAATCACTATATTTCAAACACACTCTGTTTATATACTAATCAAGCAGACCACATCGTACCATAAAACAGAAAACAACATTTACACAATATTTAACAAGTGAAATAAATATCCACCAATAGGGAGTGTACATTTAACGTCCAAGGACACCATTAGACTTGACACGATAAATATTGGTATATTCCTCTGCATACCTAACACTTTCGTAGTCAATTGCAACTGTCGCTGTTATCTTTATTCACCAACCTTTGTATTATTATTATTATTATTATTATTATTATTATTATTATTATTATTATTATTATTATTACTGGTTAAACGTCATTATTAATCTCCCCAATACATGATTCATTCACTTCGCATTTATCCCTTCTTACTACGTCCTACTGATTTTTCGCACATTTGACCAGATTGTAATTGCAATATTATGTTCCTCACCCTATCTGACCCACATTTATTCGGATCATGGATCTTAAATTTCACTCCACATATACATAGATTCAAGTTAACAATCTGTTATGAATCATATCAACATTAACAATTTTATTGTATTCTGTTTAACAATCTCAAATTCACATGCTTTGACTTTAAACGACATACTTTACCCTTAACCTTGCCATTTTTCGGATTATTCATTTGGATACATATGAATTGTAGAACCTGAAGAGAATTTATCGAAAAGAATATTCTTCATTCAAAATATCAGTCTTTTAATATGATAGGGAAACTCTGCCTGAAGTCCCTTCGAAGGCTACTACCGGTCCCAAGCCCGGATAAAGGAGGAGGGTTGGGGATGGGGTTAGCGTCCCCATCACGTAGAAAACTAACTCGCTAAAAAAACGCTAACCAGAAAAAAATTATTCAAACCTTAAATATGATACGGAATGTTTAAACGATTGAAATTTAATATGTTATAATGAATAAACCAAAAAGAGATTGTTGTATACTTCATGTATTCAATGGGGTAGACTAACTTAGGTCAATTAGCTCAATAAGATTATAAGTATATTCATAATTACAAATTAGTTAATTTAATATTAATCATTGAACTTACAATATTCATCTGATGAATTTAATGTTGGTGCTTGTTTGTATACAATAGTTTTTTTCAACATTGGCTTTAATTGATTAGATGATTTTTGTTCTGATATTTTTTCTGTTTGAGCAGTTAGTTTTGGTTTGACAGTAGTAATTGTAATAACAGAAGTAGTAGTATTAGTATTAGTAGTTTTTTGTTCATCATCTTCATAATATTCACCTTCATTAGGTTTGGCTAAAATCCACAGTGAAAAAGAAATTAGACTTAACAAGAATTATTTTGTTTCTGTTGTTGTTGTTGTTGTTGTTGGGATTAATGACCTGAAAGATTGCATTATTGATTAATCATCGAGCGTAATCAAACAGGTATCTAGCCTAATTGACTATTAAATATGTGATTTCCCCTCCTGTCATTAATATCTACTCAGCATTGCTTAGGAATGACTGATTATAATTGTGTTGAATAAACTATTATCAGAATGGCGGGGTGTTGTGGAGTTTGTAGTAATTTTATTTGTTGAATCCATTAGTCTATTAAAGCTAAACCATCACAGAAAACCTGGAAGCACTAGACAGTCGTTTCGTCCTAGTATGGCATTACTGAGCAGTGCGCATTCACGATCCCGCACGCGGGAATTCAAATAAAATATTATCTAGTCTATACCCTAGTACTCTACTCTGGATGGTCAATTCTTGTTTTAATATTACGTGACTAGTCTTATTATACAATTAACATATTATTGTAGAATACCTGAAAAATAGACAAAAATATATGACATCATCAGTCATATCAACAACAAAATTTTATAGACTACACGATAAAAGGAGGCGCGGATCGGCAAAGCAAGAACAGCATATTCACAACTAAAGAACATCTGAAACCCAAAAGAAATTGCAACTAACACCAAGGTCAGAATTTTCAATACAAATGTCAAAATAGTCCTACTGAATATGTCGGAAACTTCGACAACTACGAAAGCCAACATCCACAAGTTACAAGTGTTTATTAACAGTTGCTTGCGTAAAATAATTCGGATCCATTGGCCAAACACTATCAACAACAAACTACTGTGGGCGAGAACCGACCAGATTCCACCGGAGGAAGAAATCAGGAAGAAGTGCTGAAAGTGGATAGGACAAACATTGAGGAAAGAGCCCAACTGTGTCACAAGTCAACCCTTCACATGGAATCCTCATGGCCAAAGGAAGAAAGGGAGACCAAACAACACATCACGCCTAGAAACGGCGACAGACAGACATGAGAAGAATGAATAACAATTAGATAAAACTAGAAAGGAAGGCCTAGGACAGAATGAGTTGGAGAAAGCTGGTCAGCGGCCTATGCTCTATTAGAAGTCACAGGCGAAAGTAAGTAAGTAACACAATAAAAAAATTATGACTTGAGAAATTTAACAAAATCGTTCAATTTAAACAATAGAAAAATATACAATAATTAATAATTGAAAGTAGAGCTTAGGTAGAAATTTTTATCAGACTTACGAAGTCTGTCTGAAGTATTAAATGTGGGAGATGATTTAGAAGAAACAGATTTTTTCACGATTGAAGTTGACCTAGGAGATGATATCTTCTTTGGTAGTCTTGATGTTTGACGAGGCATTTTCAAGAACGCAGAAGTAGAAGTAATGGGATTTATTCCGTCTTCATCATAATAATCGATTCCAGTCGAAATTGCTTCAAAAAGAGAAATAAAGAAAATAACAAAAACAAAAAAGATGCGCAAAAACAAACAAAAATACAAAGAAAACACTTTCTCAAAGAAAAAGAGTGGGAAACAAAAGAAATCAAACAAAGGACGAAAAATCTGCATCATAAAGCGAAAGTCCGAGTCTGTCAGGAGTGATGTGTGCATGAGTGAGAGTGGGAGATTGTCTCGATGTGTTTGACACTAACAGGCTTGTGGTGGGCATCGATCGTGTGTGTGCGAATCGTCCACTCTCATGTGTGTCTGTGGGAGACACGTGTGCACTTGTGATTGCGTGAGTGATGTTGGAGATTTCCATGTGGATGTGTAATGGCATGGGAAATGCGTAGTGATTCGGTGTGTTTGTGTGCTGGCAATGTGACGAGTGATGGATTGGTTGATTGATTGATTGATTGATTGATTGATTGTGTGTGTGTGTGTGTGTGGCAATCCAGTGAGTGGTTGTATTTGTGTGTGGTTATTGGCATGGTTGTTTTGTTATTTTTGGTATGTCAGTTCGAATGATTGGTTTGATGTGTGAATGTATGAGTGGTGGAGTGAGTGGATGAGTGTTTGTTTGACGTAGTGATACAGTTCGAGAGAGCCACTCGAATGAGTGAATGCAGTGAGGGATAACGGACAGTGTTCGTTCGAGCAAGATGACACTGTGAAGTGGAACTGATGTGACGATGAGAGGAGCACAGTGATTGTTACTGGTCGGAGCTGAGACGAGATTGAGTGTTGGTGCAGAATGCAGTGAGTGTGTGAATCTATGCGTTTATCGTGTAAGACTTACGTTTGCTTGAGTCGGTGACTGATGCAGTTCCGTTTCGTTTGGGTGATGTTTCGGAGGGAAGTCGACGTCGTCTTCTTCTCTTGCCCGTCTTGTCCACGTAGTCGACGTAGAGCTCGTCGTCTTGTGGTGTGGTGCTGGATGGTGCTCCTGTGTCAGGTGACGCCGTGGGTTCTGCGAACGGTGGATAAGAGAAGAGAGTGTTAGCATGATGAGGACAACAATGAAGAGTGACTCTGGATGGCAGACTGAATGTTCCAGTCTGTCTGGTGTGATGTGTGCATGAGTGAGAGTGGGAGATTGTCTCGATGTGTTTGACACTAACAGGCTTGTGGTGGGCATCGATCGTGTGTGTGCGAATCGTCCACTCTCATGTGTGTCTGTGGGAGACACGTGTGCACGTGTGATTGCGTGAGTGATGTTGGAGATTTCCATGTGGATGTGTAATGGCATGGGAAATGCGTAGTGATTCGGTGTGTTTGTGTGCTGGCAATGTGACGAGTGATGGATTGGTTGATTGATTGATTGATTGATTGATTGTGTGTGTGTGTGTGTGTGGCAATCCAGTGAGTGGTTGTATTTGTGTGTGGTTATTGGCATGGTTGTTTTGTTATTTTTGGTATGTCAGTTCGAATGATTGGTTTGATGTGTGAATGTATGAGTGGTGGAGTGAGTGGATGAGTGTTTGTTTGACGTAGTGATACAGTTCGAGAGAGCCACTCGAATGAGTGAATGCAGTGAGGGATAACGGACAGTGTTCGTTCGAGCAAGAGGACACTGTGAAGTGGAACTGATGTGACGATGAGAGGAGCACAGTGATTGTTACTGGTCGGAGCTGAGACGAGATTGAGTGTTGGTGCAGAATGCAGTGAGTGTGTGAATCTATGCGTTTATCGTGTAAGACTTACGTTTGCTTGAGTCGGTGACTGATGCAGTTCCGTTTCGTTTGGGTGATGTTTCGGAGGGAAGTCGACGTCGTCTTCTTCTCTTGCCCGTCTTGTCCACGTAGTCGACGTAGAGCTCGTCGTCTTGTGGTGTGGTGCTGGATGGTGCTCCTGTGTCAGGTGACGCCGTGGGTTCTGCGAACGGTGGATAAGAGAAGAGAGTGTTAGCATGATGAGGACAACAATGAAGAGTGACTCTGGATGGCAGACTGAATGTTCCAGTCTGTCTGGTGTGATGTGTGCATGAGTGAGAGTGGGAGATTGTCTCGATGTGTTTGACACTAACAGGCTTGTGGTGGGCATCGATCGTGTGTGTGCGAATCGTCCACTCTCATGTGTGTCTGTGGGAGACACGTGTGCACGTGTGATTGCGTGAGTGATGTTGGAGATTTCCATGTGGATGTGTAATGGCATGGGAAATGCGTAGTGATTCGGTGTGTTTGTGTGCTGGCAATGTGACGAGTGATGGATTGGTTGATTGATTGATTGATTGATTGATTGTGTGTGTGTGTGTGTGTGGCAATCCAGTGAGTGGTTGTATTTGTGTGTGGTTATTGGCATGGTTGTTTTGTTATTTTTGGTATGTCAGTTCGAATGATTGGTTTGATGTGTGAATGTATGAGTGGTGGAGTGAGTGGATGAGTGTTTGTTTGACGTAGTGATACAGTTCGAGAGAGCCACTCGAATGAGTGAATGCAGTGAGGGATAACGGACAGTGTTCGTTCGAGCAAGAGGACACTATGAAGTGGAACTGATGTGACGATGAGAGGAGCACAGTGATTGTTACTGGTCGGAGCTGAGACGAGATTGAGTGTTGGTGCAGAATGCAGTGAGTGTGTGAATCTATGCGTTTATCGTGTAAGACTTACGTTTGCTTGAGTCGGTGACTGATGCAGTTCCGTTTCGTTTGGGTGATGTTTCGGAGGGAAGTCGACGTCGTCTTCTTCTCTTGCCCGTCTTGTCCACGTAGTCGACGTAGAGCTCGTCGTCTTGTGGTGTGGTGCTGGATGGTGCTCCTGTGTCAGGTGACGCCGTGGGTTCTGCGAACGGTGGATAAGAGAAGAGAGTGTTAGCATGATGAGGACAACAATGAAGAGTGACTCTGGATGGCAGACTGAATGTTCCAGTCTGTCTGGTGTGATGTGTGCATGAGTGAGAGTGGGAGATTGTCTCGATGTGTTTGACACTAACAGGCTTGTGGTGGGCATCGATCGTGTGTGTGCGAATCGTCCACTCTCATGTGTGTCTGTGGGAGACACGTGTGCACGTGTGATTGCGTGAGTGATGTTGGAGATTTCCATGTGGATGTGTAATGGCATGGGAAATGCGTAGTGATTCGGTGTGTTTGTGTGCTGGCAATGTGACGAGTGATGGATTGGTTGATTGATTGATTGATTGATTGATTGATTGTGTGTGTGTGTGTGTGTGGCAATCCAGTGAGTGGTTGTATTTGTGTGTGGTTATTGGCATGGTTGTTTTGTTATTTTTGGTATGTCAGTTCGAATGATTGGTTTGATGTGTGAATGTATGAGTGGTGGAGTGAGTGGATAAGTGTTTGTTTGACGTAGTGATACAGTTCGAGAGAGCCACTCGAATGAGTGAATGCAGTGAGGGATAACGGACAGTGTTCGTTCGAGCAAGAGGACACTATGAAGTGGAACTGATGTGACGATGAGAGGAGCACAGTGATTGTTACTGGTCGGAGCTGAGACGAGATTGAGTGTTGGTGCAGAATGCAGTGAGTGTGTGAATCTATGCGTTTATCGTGTAAGACTTACGTTTGCTTGAGTCGGTGACTGATGCAGTTCCGTTTCGTTTGGGTGATGTTTCGGAGGGAAGTCGACGTCGTCTTCTTCTCTTGCCCGTCTTGTCCACGTAGTCGACGTAGAGCTCGTCGTCTTGTGGTGTGGTGCTGGATGGTGCTCCTGTGTCAGGTGACGCCGTGGGTTCTGCGAACGGTGGATAAGAGAAGAGAGTGTTAGCATGATGAGGACAACAATGAAGAGTGACTCTGGATGGCAGACTGAATGTTCCAGTCTGTCTGGTGTGATGTGTGCATGAGTGAGAGTGGGAGATTGTCTCGATGTGTTTGACACTAACAGGCTTGTGGTGGGCATCGATCGTGTGTGTGCGAATCGTCCACTCTCATGTGTGTCTGTGGGAGACACGTGTGCACGTGTGATTGCGTGAGTGATGTTGGAGATTTCCATGTGGATGTGTAATGGCATGGGAAATGCGTAGTGATTCGGTGTGTTTGTGTGCTGGCAATGTGACGAGTGATGGATTGGTTGATTGATTGATTGATTGATTGATTGATTGTGTGTGTGTGTGTGTGTGGCAATCCAGTGAGTGGTTGTATTTGTGTGTGGTTATTGGCATGGTTGTTTTGTTATTTTTGGTATGTCAGTTCGAATGATTGGTTTGATGTGTGAATGTATGAGTGGTGGAGTGAGTGGATGAGTGTTTGTTTGACGTAGTGATACAGTTCGAGAGAGCCACTCGAATGAGTGAATGCAGTGAGGGATAACGGACAGTGTTCGTTCGAGCAAGAGGACACTATGAAGTGGAACTGATGTGACGATGAGTGGAGCACAGTGATTGTTACTGGTCGGAGCTGAGACGAGATTGAGTGTTGGTGCAGAATGCAGTGAGTGTGTGAATCTATGCGTTTATCGTGTAAGACTTACGTTTGCTTGAGTCGGTGACTGATGCAGTTCCGTTTCGTTTGGGTGATGTTTCGGAGGGAAGTCGACGTCGTCTTCTTCTCTTGCCCGTCTTGTCCACGTAGTCGACGTAGAGCTCGTCGTCTTGTGGTGTGGTGCTGGATGGTGCTCCTGTGTCAGGTGACGCCGTGGGTTCTGCGAACGGTGGATAAGAGAAGAGAGTGTTAGCATGATGAGGACAACAATGAAGAGTGACTCTGGATGGCAGACTGAATGTTCCAGTCTGTCTGGTGTGATGTGTGCATGAGTGAGAGTGGGAGATTGTCTCGATGTGTTTGACACTAACAGGCTTGTGGTGGACATCGATCGTGTGTGTGCGAATCGTCCACTCTCATGTGTGTCTGTGGGAGACACGTGTGCACTTGTGATTGCGTGAGTGATGTTGGAGATTTCCATGTGGATGTGTAATGGCATGGGAAATGCGTAGTGATTCGGTGTGTTTGTGTGCTGGCAATG